CTGTGTACACTGGCGGTAAACATGAGAAGAACGTAGTCTGTTGAGTTCCACAACTGCATGTGTAAAGCTAGGTTTCCTGCAGCATTAGGATGCCCAAGCAAGAATATGCACGATAGTTTATAACACATCTAACGTTTTTAGTTTTCCAAGCATCTATCGAATAGTAACACTGAGTAAAACTGGTAGGTTCATATTTCCGATACTTTTCTTCTGAATTGCAACCCCCATCCTGCACGGCATTTTGCGTACGATTCCTTTGCCTCTCTTTGTTTAATTTGATTTTGTTTCGTATGGCTTGCTTAGGAAAAGTGTCCAGTTTGTTTGCGTGCAAGCAAGCAAGAATTTCAAAGCATCGCCAATCTGAACGATCATGACCCTGGGTGCACAACAAAATGTTACAAAGTTAAAACAAAATGGCTTTGACACAGTGCCGATGGCATGTGTTTCAGTAAATTCGTTGGATAGGATTTATGGAGCAACTTCCAATTTGAAGGCCCCGTTGCTTAACTCGGCGATGTCAAAGAGGGCGCAACAAGAAACACCAGCAAGGCCTACAGACAAGAAGGCACCAGTATTATGTGCGAATATGGTGGAAAAAACAAGGAGAAGCTGATTCCCGATGTTCTGCAGCGCGCTGAATATACCGCTAAATAGCAAACTGAGAACCCTTTGGTGCAGCTGCAGCAGCGGCTAAAAGGGAACAGGATCCGCCCTTCCTTGTCTACATTTTCAACACCCTCAGAAGGCTAAAGATTACACTGTAGAAGTGCCACTACGAGCTGGACCGCCTCAATGGTGCCACGTCAATCTCAACCCCGAGGTCCTAAGCTTTTGACTTCTCTGTGCAGGCACCACATGACAAAGAGAAATACATCATTATATATCAGAACGGGTTCAGTCTAAATCTGCGGCGGATGCAGTCTCACTCCTCTTGCCCACCATGAACGATAGAGGCAGACGCCAACTAACCAGCAGTTTAAGCCACTGAGGCATGGGGACCTTCGCTGGGCTACATAATTTACAAGCTAACTGGGCTATAGCACGGCTTACCTTCCACTGTCACTGAAAGTGGCTATCCCGCAATGCCATGACGTTCTCTCTCTGGACGCCATATCCATAGCATTTGAGAGAGCAAGGTTCTTCGACGAACATTGCGAACTTTGCCCCATTGCAGGTGCCATGATTGGTGAGCTTTGAATGGACGATGCCTTTGTTATTCGTTACCACAATCCACCTCACGATGTAGCCTCTGAGGATAGGCAAGGATCCTCAGTAGGTACCGAGGGAATGCGCAAAACTGACGAGCTCCAATAAGCCGAAACTCCTTTGGTGCTTTTCCGGACTAGACTATGGTATGTAGCAGGTGAGTAGCTGGGATGAAAACATTACAAGTCAAATCATCCTACTAATAAGTAGTATAAAAAGTAGCCTCTGCTTGTTACAAATGCTATGGATGTGACCTCTAGTGAGAAGGTCATGAGCTGCAGCGGCTCACCACTGTCATCTGCTAAGGTAGTAATCTGCGTGGCAGTAGAACATAGGTTGTGCTATATCCCAGTTAGCTTGCAAAGTATGTAGCTCAAGCAACATCCCCATGCCTCAGTGGCTTAAGCTGCTGGTTAGTTGACATCTGCCTCTATCGGTCATGGGTTCGATCCCCAGTTGGGACCAGGTGAATGCGCAACACTGACGAGTTCCAATAGGTCAAGACGCGTCTGCTGCATTTCTGGACTAGGCTGTGCTGCCTAGCTTGTGAGCTAGTGAGAGGAATGCTATTAAAATATTTATTTAATTACTGTGATGTATGCTTCACATGGTCTGCAGAGGTCAGCCAAGTCAAATTGCTATATATGAGCCTGGGAAGTGTGGTGATGGGCGAAGGTACATTTTGGCCGGCCAACCCATACATCTCTTCCTTTCCGTGACGGATTTGGACCAACTCACACATTGCCATTTGAAGCCTGCTGATAACATCATCATTACACAGGTTAGATACAGTAACACCTCAGCTACTGTGGCATAATACAATACTAGTACATAGTTGTATAGGAGACAAATGAAAACCGAATAAATAATATACTTTGCTTTTACCACGTATCTTCGATTAGCTCGCCTTTTGAGGATGAGTTTATGTTGCAGGAATTAAGAACAAAGAGACTAAAAAACGAGCGTCATGGAGGTCGGTTCTTTTACGTAGCAGCAAGTGTATAAAAAGAACTTTGCTCATCGTCTATCACACTACAACCAGCCAATCGAGAAGCAACAATCAACGACCCCTTGGAAGCGAGACCTTTCATTCATCTTGACCAAGTCGTCATTTAGCGTCCCTACTATTCATCCGTTCAGACTGCCGTCGCGCAAACAACGCACGCGTAAGAATTCGGGGTGCTGTCAGGAGTAACCCATTCCCAAGGTAAAAATGCCTAGCGCTTGAAATAACGGCGCCTAACAGTTCAATTGCTCTTCTTGCTACATAAAAAGAGGCAAAACATGTTCATTCCCCATGTGGTTTTTCCACCTGATATGTGCTGAATCGCGAATGAGGCGATGATCGAGCGTGCCTAGCCCCATGGCTAGGAAAGTGCGGTACCTCGAGCACAGATTCGACGCGGCTGGCGACCCGAGATCAAAACAGTACTATGCCCCAAAGATAAGAACAAGCTGAGGCCAAGTGGTCCAAACCAGCCAATGGCTTAAGGTCGAATCGAAACAGATCAGAAAGGCATCGCTCAACGGAATATAATGATGACCTGAGTCCAACAACCATAATCAATAGATGTCTAACTAGAGCGACTTGTTTCAGTGCAATTCGACTTTCGTCTTTGGCCTCCAATAGACTCTAGCTTGCCGCATAATCGCCTCTTTTCTTCCGTCTTTATTGACAGTTGGTCTACTCAAACAATCAAATGCAACAGCCTCTTTAGGTCTGTCGATCTGACGGACCAGCTTTCGCTATTGTACAGGAGCGCTATGTGGATGACATTGTTGTAGCTCTTAGCTTTCGGAGCCTAAGTGACGTCATATTGACGACATTCTTGGTGAGGACTAACTATAACGCCGCGGACTTTCCTCATATAGTAGGTGATCTCGTCATATACGACGCAAAGATCGACTCACTTAGGTAGGCTGCGTATATCTTTAACCATCTATTACGTGTCGATCGGGTTCACAACCCAAAGATTCATACCGTCGGCTCGTTTTGGTGCCACGGTATTGCCCAAAAAGCTGGGTGCTGTTGGCTCGTGTCATCTTTCAGGCTGGGGTCCACGTGACCCGCCCTTTATCTGGTTCGAGACGGTAAATATATGTTCGCAGTCGGTATCAATGGAGCGTCTGCTGTCGTCTAGTAGTAGGACTGTCTGTTTACGTTGTGTTTGATGCTGCTTTATCAGCGGAGTAATGGCTGCTTATGACGCGGGGCAGCGAAAGCTGTATAGAATCTGTCTCGCCTATGCCGTTTCCTCTTTGCACGATAGCCATCTGTTTGTGGCAGTGGATTTTTGCCAAGACGTAGGTACCTTGATCCCGGATCTTTGCTTAGAGTACTGAAGTTGTACGCTATGTCTCTGTTCTCTCCCACTGATTCTTCTTCGTTCCGTACTCCGTTGTGTTTGTACGGCAGCAACGCTTCATTTCAGATGGCTGTTTTATTGTTGTTGTTGATGATGTTGATGATGATTATGAGGAATGTAACGCCAAAAACCCGTAGTCACGGTCAGTACTTTAGTGGCTAGCTTTAACGCCAACATTTGAGTATTTCCATTATAAGGTGATTATAATTGCGATACATTAACTGCTTGCGTTTCACTGGGTGATCGATAAAGCGATCTAAAGTGATCCGCTGATTGGCTACCTTAAAGGAAAGCGCTCAAAGAAGTGGTGTTACCAGCAATGCATAATAAACTCCTACTACAGCGAATGAAACTGAAAGAGTGCAACGGATTTTAACATAAACTGGAGACTTGCAATTGACCACAGCAATAGCTGATGGCCATCATATAATGCTACTGTCAGTCTCATCTTGTTCCGAGAAATCGTTTTCATCTTTCTTACCATACACTAAAATACTGATGAAATTCGGAACACTGGGTTAAATCGTTGTGTATGGCAGTTTTGATCGTCGTGCGTTACTTGATAAATAACCATCGGAGGAAAGGACAGGTGACTTACCGATATAACAGAAGCAACGTGTTGATGCGTCGTCATGCAGACAATCTTGAAAGATGCGACAACTAGTTGTATTGGATCTCAGGTAAAACTGTGTGCAATCGTACCAGTGATCGTCATCAGGGAAATGGTCCGTGACTTCCAACAATTTCACATTCATGCATTCTCCATGGCCCCCAAGTGCACTTCTGGTTCGATTCATGAAATTTCTCCATGTTTTACGAACAACATTTGTAATACAATAATATAAATAGATTTCTAAGCACCACCGACTATTTGTTTTCGTTCTGGTTGTGGTCATTTTGGGGGGCCCAAGAAAGAAACTGCTCATATCACAGTGTTGTGCCTGGCGCTGTGCAAGGGCTACACTAATTTTACAGGCCACATCTTCAGGCAGCGCTAGCTAAAGGCTAAATCGCAATCGTTGTAAGAAGGAAACTGCCTAAGGGATAGGTTACTGATCGGTTTGTACACATTGATCAGACCACATAGTTGGACTGCACCTCGAATCGCCGAGGAATATACCATTTATTTATTTATTTATTTAGTACGCTAAACGGGACTGCTGATCACCTACCTTCGACATCAGTTTAACCCGCTTACGTAATCCGTTTGCAATGGCTATCAACACTTTGACGTGACAGTCAAGTCTGTCTCTGATGGATGCAAGACTTCAGCTCACTGTCAGTTAGTGTCTTTCACTCCCTGTGCTTAGTGTTCAAAAGAGAGTACATTATTGTTATCATGCCGAGTCCTTAGTAGTTAGCAATTTGAAAAGGAGTTTACCAACATGCTTATTTTTCGTTTCGTTTTATTCTGTTTACATTTAACAGATGGAAAGTGGAATTTGAGTCCCAGGCAGGTATTACGACTACTTTTCACGAAGCGGATGACATGAGTGTCCAAATGCCCGTCATTTCTGCACTACCAGTTAAAGTATTTAACAACTACTTCTCACTCGGGGCTGACGCAGCAGCTACTTTGGGTTTCCACGAGTCTCGAGGTTAGTAGCCTGTATGCATACCGGATATTTTGTGTCATTATATCTTGATTGTGAACGGATTACTTCACCACTTGCGCCTCTACTCCTGTAAGTTTCAATCGTTAGAATTGCATACACAGCATTACATCCTCCAGGAGGTAGGATCTACGAATAGGTCAGGTTGATGATTTTTGGCATGCAGAAGTGGTTAGTGTACATTGCTCAGTGACATACTTCCTGAACGACTCGACCTTCAAAATGCCTGTTTGAACTGGCATTAAGACCCAAATACAGGTCAGTTCGTTGGTGAATGTGCCAAAGCAACTTTGGCGTCACTGTTAAGATGTAACTCTCTACACCACAGACCCTGAGCCATCCAGTCTATTTATATCACGGCAAAAAGACGTACTTTCATTGTGAGAGAAAACCGAATGTTCTGTGATTTCACGTGCGTAAGTTCGACTTTTCTTATTGTCTGACGGTTGTGGCACTGAACAGTTGCGTTCAAGTAGATGAACGGGCAATCCCTCCACTGATTCCTGCTTCGTGCCACATCAGTAACTGTTCCAAACCGTAAGAGTTCTTTTTCCCCAGATCCATTCATGTGTAGACTCAAGGAATCATCCGTCATTAAAGGGGAAATCGGAGAACCTGCGGTTTGTCACGAAGGGGTGCGCTAGCCACTATACTTCCCCTTGCAATGCGGCCAAGTGATAACAAATAGAGCTCGGTGTGTTAGACGTTCTCATGGCACGCATGGAAAGTACCGGAATCAACTCTAATAACCCAGCGAAATAGGGTCATCGATGTGACGGCTCGAAATTCCTACGATATGACATCATATCATTTAGAATCCGATGCTTTTTATTTAAGGAAGTGCTTCGCGCACCAGGGAGAGGTGCATATACAGGTATATCGTAGACGATTTCATCAGTGTTTGTTGTTCACGACTCAATCCCTCGTAAACACCAATCGTCTTGAACCTCAAACCAACTCACCTCCACACGAGCCGTTCCTGACATGATTCTAGATACACCACGTCCTAACGTATTCGTGGTATGCAGAAATAAAAATGATCCGTATGGCTCATTTAGACTACTGTTGTCGCTTTCTGTTCGCTATGTCTTAGGCGCACATCTCCTGTACTAATGCTCCTACTCTCTCTTTGAGCTGTTCATCCTCGCTATTCACTCCCATTCGGCTTGATCACATACGAGTTGATGGCAATAACGCCATCTTAGTGCCTATCATCCATTTGTTTACAAGAAGATAATGAAACAATGGTTTATGACGGGTAAAAAGTACAGGCTTAACTTCTCCCGCAGGTGGGGAATGGAAGAAATTGAGATTCAAACAGTACGTAAACTGGTTTAATAAATAATGCATCGGTGGAGCGGTAGAATGACGGAGTATAGAAGCAGGGTTGGGGCAATGAGATATTACCCGCCCGAAACGACAAAAAAAGTTGTTATGGTTAATACGCATTGCAAATAACAAGCACTGCACAGATTTACTTGCGTCACTGTGGGTTATGATTCCAAAGTGGTTAGTTAGCCAGAATAAGTCTAGAATATTCGTTCAAGCAACTAAGTTTAGGGTATTCACTTTGAAATCCAATCGGTTTTTTAACACAGCTAAGGTGGAGCACAAACAACTGAGTTTTGAAGGACTTTCCAAGGTTGTCAGTCCCGGAGAGAGAAATAAGTTCATCGACAATCTAGACGACTGTATTGTTGAACCAACTTCAGGCTATTGCATCTGAGGATAGTGTTCGGGTTGAGTTTCAAAAGGTGCTGACATAAGTGACCGGGTAAGCTAATTTGAGGTCTCGAAGTATCAGTTGACAGCGATCGCTTCACGCTTCGAGTGTCTACAGTCATGAATACCCAAGTAGCATTGTCAACCAAGGTGGACAAAACCTGAAAATACCTAATAGATTGCATCCTTTTGGGCTATTTGGCGTAGCAAATGTAATCGAACGGTAAAGTCACGTGATCGCTACGGCCCAGAGGACAGTATATATTTAGCCCATCAGCCATGAGCTCCTCGCTGGTGTACACAACATCCAACCTTGATGGCTTATTCGCTGTTCTGAACTTGGTAGGATCGTTGTGGTGGTTGTATAGGGGTGTGTTATAGATTAGCTCTTCTAAATAGACCTTGAACCCTTCCGCCTCGGTTGCTGAAGTTTCCAAATCATGAATGTGGAAATCACCTGTGATGAGGATATGGGTGTATTTCTGATTGATCACAATGCGTAGTGCAGATATTAGTCTATGGTCCATTTCCGGAGTAGATATGGGTGGTCGGTAAACTACAGACACAAGACGTATGTCGTTGTCCTTCAAGCACAGTTTGCACCAAGGAGATCAATGACATGCGTGTGAGGATCATCTATGGGCGCACCGAGGTTTGTTTTGTAATAACTGATCACTCCCCCTCCCCTACCCATGCTGTCATTCAGGAGAAGCAACATCCTGGGTAGAGCGAATTCAGCGTCAGAAATTTTCTAACTCAGCCATGTTTCAATGATTATTATGACATCTCGAGACTCGGATGCCTGACGGTGACGGAGTTCGACCACCTTGTGCATTTGTATGCAACCAGTTCAGGTTCACAGTAATTAAAGAAGAGAGAGTGTGCCGACTGTCGAGGGGTCACCTACTAGTCACTTTTGTTTAGTTGCTCTCCTTTGATATTCGGTTGGATTAAACTACTGATTGCAGCTGCCCTGACCCTGATAGTCACCTTTGTTTAGTCTTTCTGCGTCAGATGTTGGGGTTGTCATCGAAGCAATTTCTTCGCACTTATATTATAGAAAGTCGGCCGGTGGCCGAGTGGTCTGCACGTTTGCTTTGCAATCATAAGGTCACCGGTTCGAATCCGCGTAGGGGTGGGCATCCTCGTGGTATACTCAGCCCGCGCGCGACTGGTGGTGGTCGCGCGGCAGCGAAGCGCCGTTACGGCGTATAACCTGATACCTTTCTTTCTTTCTTCTATATGATAGAAAGTTTTACTAATGAGTCGTAGCCACCCATGGTCGTCTAACCGCCGCCTTCTACCGAAATTCTTTAGGCAGCCTCTTGTTGAATTTAGACCAGTTGGTTGGAGGTATGCTGAGCTTAGAAATTTGGTTACAAACGTTTCGTCACCAATCGGGGTGACATCACCAGTGCGTAGTTTAATGGCATGCAGCGGCGTGGAGGTGCCTCACCGGGGCAATTGATGGTGATGAGATCCCAAAAGTATTTTCCTGACGCAAACGAACCTCGGAGATTTTGCTGGGGAGGTTTTGAGCATTGGTGTACACGCATTAAGTGGTTCGGTTCTCAGCAGCGATCTGAAAGACGTGGCTCAGATGTGAGGTTATGCCAACCGTTGCATGGTCGGTTGCTAGCCACTTTTTGTAAGATTATCAGCGAGTCTTTTGGAGTTGGGTTCGATGGCAACCTAATTACACACTCTAGCAACTAATTTTACACAATGCATGCAAAGTGCATACAGGCTTGCATACGATCTACAGTTCTTTCATGGTGTTACCAATTCTTGAATGAGGCCCAGATGTCGTTCGCCTGCTTTGAGGGCGTTTTAAGTCGGACGACAGTTTCTGTCACTACTTTGACCGGAGCTCGGTAGGCAGCCGGTTCTGAATGGACTGCCATCGTCTTAGGTGCCTAAGTGCCATACACCTAGTTTGTGGCACCCTTTTTGGCTTGTGGGAGAAGTAACTATATGTATCAAAAGCAGGGTCACACGAGTATAGCTCCACTGCTACTGGGCGTCAGCCACAGCTTCGCGTTCCTTGTGCTCATGGAACTGGGCAACGCTATTGACAAATATTCACTTTGCACCTCATGTTTATTCGGTCACGGGCATATTTTAGTGTATAGTTGCATACCGGTTATTGTTATTGGTGCTGAGGAGACAATACGAAATGCATGCATCCACCAGTTTTCGTTTTCTTATCGTGCTTTTCAAACAGAGATGCGTCTGCGTCCAGACGGCACTTTTGTAGGCTGTCCTTTGCTCGCCCCCTGAAACGTCTGTAAGAACGCAAACCGATCATGAACGGTTCTGAAAACCAGCTGTCGAAAGCAGGCCCGTTTCCCCCTCATCGACAGCGTTTATCACAATCTGAGGAGGACTGGCCTCACCATAGTGCATGGAATTCTATTGGCGGGTGATCATCGGCAGGTTGGTAGACGTAGTCAAACTACCGCGCTGGTTGCTTATGGTGTTTTGTTAACTCAGGTCGCCCATCTGTATCCTTTTCAATGAAACTGCTTTTGCCTTCGCTACGTCGGTAGATATTTTGGGTATGGCATGCAATTGCCTCTGAGTGATATTCGCGAGAGTATAGGTCGTGGTTGGGAGACTGCGCTAGTTGATTTACGTCAGTGCAACGTTGCCTCTCACATTAGTATTTGCTGTGGTAGTAGAAATAGAAGCTGCTGTTTTCTGAGTGCTCTTGGATGCAAATGCAGTCCGGCTGGCACCGTTATTGGCTTGCTTTTTGGGTTTCGGCGAAGCCTGGTATGAGGAGGTGGGTTTGGACGAAATTACTGCAAATGGGATGGCGATATATTGTTCGGGAACCGTCGGGTGTTTTGGAGTAGTGGCGGTGTTTGAAAAGCCATTTTTTGGCTTAGGATCCGGCGGTTAGGAATTGATTTGCAGAGGTTCGGTGGAGCGGTCTGTGTCAGACGTTCTACTATGCTTGTTCTTACGGAAGCTATTTTTGTGCCCAACATTTGCTCAACCACTCCCTCCGGGTTAACATACTTCTGAGGCAGTGCAATTACGGTCTTAACTAGTAGACCGTATTACACTTCGCGCAAAACCAAAATAAGCCTGGCCTGCTGCTGATTTGCCTAAACGCGCTTGGATTGATGTTCCTGCTTTTAGCATGAAAAAAGGTCGAGAATTTTGAACATGAAACTCCTATTTGGATCATCCTGTTGCATGTTGCACATGCGCTTTTAGGCGCTGCGAATTGGATACTCGCATCCATCAGGTCACGTGAACATGTTGAAGGTTGCTCCTGCCCTGCGCCGTAGATTGACTGTCCGGCCACCAACGTCAGTCAGTCGAGAAAGCTGACTGTTTCACCGCTTGTATGGTTCGCGGTCGCGCACACATTGCTGGATTCGGCGATCGTCCGTCTCGCGGTTGTACGCACACACATACACGAAGATGCGGCTTTCCCAGAGCGACGATGCACACGGGGTGCTGACAAGCGTCCCTAAGTGTCTCGTACGCGCTGTTCAGTGAATGAGCGACACAAAAGGACCTCTACCATTGTTATGCTTCAGCCTACAGGGATGGCTGCAAGGCTGTTTGACAGTCTTCAGTCTCATTTTCCGAACAAGACTAAAACTATTCACGAAAGCACAGGAGTGATGTAGTTACACAAACGCATGTGCAACGCTTCGTCTGTCAAATTTTGGTTTACAGTCTATTGATGTCACCGCATACCTTAATGACGCAACGTCTGTTCAGCTTTTACTCCAGTGACGGTAAACCAGAGAAGTCTCAAGTGGGCTTCAGAAGAGGCTGAGAATGATGCGAATGGTGGTACTCAGCCACTAGTAAGCATTTCACATCAAAATATTGAACAAAAGTTTTCAATCTGAAAACAGGTTCAACGGCACTACCCCGTTGGGATGAGCAAACATATCGGAAGTAATCAGTTGCGCTCTTGTTTTCCACTGTTACAAAGTCGCGGTAATCAAGTTGGCCAACCTGTGACCTTTTTCGTTGACTACCTCGCGTTTCGTAAGTAGCTGGCTGCTGTTTATGATGGTATAGACACACTGACTGCGATGTCATTCCCCGTCTTCTGCACAATCCTTTCCATCTGCTGACACTGATGCTACATGCAGTCTACAAATGAGGTGAATAGTATTTTTCCACATATTATTCAGCTTCCATAGGTAAGTTAAACATGGAAGTAAATGTAGTACAGGATTCCGAAGAACTCAGATTTATTGATGCCATAGGTATCGTGTTTTATTGAACCAGTTCACAGGCCTGCTATCTACCTGATGAGATCGAACAGGGTCGAAAAGCGTAGTGGAGTACAGTGTTTCGAGTAGGCAACACCCAATTTCCATACAATTCGGCTACGGTCCTAATGATCGAATTGGCCAAGATTTGTTTCAATGCGAATCAAGCTCCCCATTGAGATTGCGCCTCGCAAGATAACGAGTATTTCAAAATGAGCCTCAAATCAGTTCATGTGTTGTCATTTAATGCACTACATTTGTATCCTGAGGAACGACATCTTGCATATCGCGTCACAGAAGCGTGAGCTTAAGGTGTGCACTCAGAATGATCTCAGATGTTCGAAGCAGGCTGTTAATGTATTGATAACCATTACCGAATACATTGGTCCCTTACAGAGGGCTTTCGGGAAGCTCGACCCTTCCATATTCCCACAAACGTTCAACGCCTAGGTGAGGTCTCATGTGGAATATGCGACTCCCCGTCATCCCCCATCATCCCTGGCAGAAAGGCTATTTGACTACACCCCAGGTTTTACATCTAAGGGCAACCATAGGAAATCGGATTTTACTATTTGTCATATCAACTGCGACTGAAGACCCTAGGTGTGTACGGTGGAGGAGGAGTGACTTTATCCTGGTCTAACAAATTTTGTAAGATTCTAGTTACGCTTGTCACTATCTTTTGAAACAGCGATAACACAAAACTGAAAGGCCACTGACTGAGGCTGGTAAAGCAATGCAGCCGGTTGGACCGTCGCCGACATTTTTCTTCCTCGTAGTTGCTATCTTTTTGACGCTATTCCGACTTATGTCATTTTTGAGCCTACGTCAATTATTTCATAAACTGAGACGATGCGTCGCATCCTTTCCATTGCGCGTCATGAGCGCTGTTCATTGGGTGATGGCAAAACGCAATCATTGTGCTAACCACCCCTCCCTCACGAAATCGGAGTAGGCGGATTTATAGTTGCGTTAATCTGTATCTCATGGTGAGTCGATATATAGGTTGTCGGCTTTGCGGGAAAGATTTCTCTTCAGACTTGTGTATTTCACATAGATTAGCCTACGGTACTTGTCAAATCTTAGCTCTTTCCACTCTTGTGATACCATTGTTTCATGTCAACTTGCTTGATCAAGATTCATATTGTTGTGGGGAAAACTGCACATGTTAGTTTGTACATGCACGCTGTTTCAGCTTGATAACTATAAATTTTTCCCGCGACTGTAAAGGACACAACCCTTGGGCAATTGATGCACTATCTTCAGAAGGATGATGGTAATTCTTTGAACCTCGAACGCTTGCCTGCACATACAGCTCATCGGAAGCTGGATGAATATACAGTCATTTGATGCATTAGCGTTCGCTTGTCGCAGGCTTCATCAGCTTGTTGTTGTCGTTTTCGTTATTAGGGTACCGTTGGTGATTTGCTAATCTAACCGGTTTCCACTTCTTTGCCCTCTAGAAAAGAACCCAGAACGTTTTAATAGCCGATTGCAAAACAAGATGGCCTATGCGAGAGTAAGTGATCTGGTAGCAATATGCGCTCAGATATGGACATCATTTACCACAAGACAGAGACCACCCGAAAAGTAACCCCATACGGATTCAAAAAGCCCTGATAATAAAACCTTGCACAGTTCCACTGGTTAGGCTGCGGGCTCGATACGAATCCCATCATAACATAGTAAATTCCTGTCCTTAACTAATTGCTTTCTTACTATGGCTAAGATTAAGCATAAAGGTACCAAAACAGTAAAATCCTCCAGCTCGTTCCTTGCAGTCGGTGTAAGCCGTCGACCAGATCACCGACTCTGTCAGCAGAAAACAGAACGCCACCATGACATTGATTAGTTGTTGTTCCCATAAAGTGCTTTATTATAAAGTATCGACGATGATTTATAAAAATATGATCTCGTGTGCGTGGGAGAGTATGCTTGTAGTTAAATAGCTGCTTTTACCGGATAGATACCTTGCGATCCAATTCGTCACATAACCGCCTCGGAAGTGCATAGTAACCAGACTATGGAAAGTGCCAAGAGCAAGGCTACACTAGCTTGAGGATAGCAGTTTATTCACATGTAAGCGTTAACGATTGGGGACTTAAGGTTAACAATTGATCATAATGATTTACAACAATCGAAAATCATACAAGGAGACAAGATTGCTCACATTTGTTTCCAGTGATGTCGGCCAGGATCATGGACCGATACTCAATCTATGCGACTCTATCGTTGCTAGACTGGTGCTACTGAGCTCCGCGAATCCCGTTTCGTACAACCCTATCCTCTGTTACAGTTTGCAATTGTGTCGATCAGATACAGAGTAAGTTAATTTTAATTCAGCTAACTCCTCATTGAGCGGCAACCATCCATGATGATGATAATAATAATAATATAATAATGTGTACATTTCTCCTGATCCGAGAAATTGCCTCTATAGTGGTACAGATCAATTTGTACAAAAATAACCATGCTCTAGTATGGTGCCATGTGCGTAGGTGGAATATCGTAGCATGCGATTCATGAACTAACGTTTTGGTTAGGTGCCTGAGGTGGAAGCCAAGGTTTGGAAACATGCATGTTTATATGGTTTGGTCCCTGTTGGAATGGCTCATCAAGAGAATTTTCCCATTCCATTATATTCAACACGGTCAATAGTACAATTGACTTAAGGCCTCAAGGTATAGAAAATACAACAAACATACGAAGAGAGAGGAAAACAACCGGTATTCATGGGAAAAGTGAGTCACAAGAATTATGCCATTGCGCACAATTTTCTTGCTATATCCGAGAGTGTTTCCAGCCATGTGTGTTCCGGATCCTTCACACTCCAGTCAGGAAGCCGAGTGCAAACAGTAATCATGGTTTTAAGGTCAAGGTAAATTGAGAGCTTGGTACTAAATGTTGCCCAAGTCATCACATGGACCGCGTGTGATTTCGCAGTTTATTCTATAGATGGCAGTATCTGACCAGAAATAAATGTGAGCGCATGTTTATTGCAGCCTTTGCATATTTAAGTTGACCTATATTATAGTTCCAGCGTAGACAGATCAGAACAGATCTTGTTCTGTAGCCGGTTGAAAAGCAGCAACATTCGAAGTGTCAACAGGTGCCAGGTCTGAAAAAGATAAGGATCCTTATGTACAATCCTGTAACCACACTTCACGCACTGCACAAAATGAGTTGCCAGAGGGGCTAAGTACAATACCGCCGAACCCATCGTCAAGCTAATCCTCAATATTACTACCACAAAACTGCTAGTGACCGACCATACATTGGTCGGCACAAAATCCTATCCGAAGCACATGCTTTTCGATTTGCCTTTGAGATCGGAAGAACGTCCCTGCACGTAACCAACGCCTAAGGCTTTCCTCAGCAAAAGTTGTTCGCTTTCCAGGCAACAAGCGCATTGGAATCTCATTGCCATGACCGACACTTGGCTGCGCTTATAAGTTACAGATGTCGAGGTAGCTATTTAGGGAGCGTCACTCTTACGAAACGATTGTCACAGCTGCGGAGTAGGTGTACTTCTATCTTATTGTAACGACTTACAACACCAATTAGTGGTTACTCCTCTTAGTTGGCATTACTCCAGCTAGTTTGTTATCAATAGATTAGTTAACGAGGCGATCTGAGCAGTGACAGTGTTGAGCCTCTGGTTGCCTAGGGTTTTGCGTCTGCCAACTCAGTCTGTGGGCTCGAGGATGTGCCGTACAAGGGTATTGAAACAGCTGCAGCGGATGTGATCCCTGTGCGAGCAACTACTCTGCCATCTGGTGGGACCACTACCGTATGTTGTTCCACAGCCCCATGCAGCTCTCCCGACCGTCAGGTCGTTCCGTTTAGCAACTTGGCCTATACCGGTTTGTGCTCGCAGTTGCCCGCTGGGCAACCTTTGTTCATACTGTGTCTTAGGTTTAACTTGCATATCCTGGACCCTTAGTTTTTGAGCAGGAAGCAGGTCAACTCGCTTCCACAACCTCCGTGCGAACATAAGCCGGCCGGGGCACTTCGTAGTAGGTTCGCTCGACATGATGCGATCTCCGAAAGGATTTTTTCCGCCTTTCCCGCAACAAAGCGGGCGCCTATTTCCGTTACCCGGTCTTGATAGGCAGGACTGCTCCTTCAGCCAATTCGTTTGAAGCTGATAGTTAAGAGGCTAACTTTAGATGACGTATTCTGTTGTTTTGGTGTACTCTTGGAATTCTTGACAGATAATTGTGGTGCTGTATATACTGGTTACTGAAACATCCTCATGCAGGAAACACTCGTCTCAGAACGGGAGTACGTTAGCAGAAACATCCCAACCGATTTGCAGTAGCCATCAATCAAGAGGCTAAACATTTTCCACCTAGTTAACTAAACAAGTCTGCGTGTATGCGCTTCCATGTTCTGTCGGGCCATTTCCTGGACTGAACGGTACTGGACAGGCGTCCTCTGTGTGCGTTGGCCAGCATCACAGTGTCGAAATAACCCTCCCATAATTGTCAGTATAAGACTACTACAACATAACACAGCGAGGGTCGCTTCATTCCTCGTGATCCCCAGGAGCGTTTCGTGTTGCTCTTCTTAGATGCGATGTCGCGATCAAGGCGGCATGATTGTTGTAGATCCCCAAAGCAAATAGCCATCCACTAGATTAAGCGCTACGCGTCATGGAGAAGTTTCGGCAGTAGTTGCGGTATACAACTATCGGGCCATGCTTGAGATACCAGATGATTGAGTTTGGCGCAGGAATATGTTCCGTTTGGGCTTGGGTGGGACCATCTGCACCCTACAGGCCAAATGTTGCAGCACGGGATAACCCCAAAGGGTTCAGAAAGCAAGGCTTGAGGGGTGCCTTCAAACGGTAAGGGTCTCAGAGCGTCCGCGATTCAC